TCTAATCTTCATAATCTGTGGGCGTCAGGACCGATGTCCGCTTCTGGCGTGCGAAGCTCACTGAGAGCTCGGTGGCGGCTGCAAAGGCGCAGGCGGGCTTGACTCTCGTTGCGAGCTCCGCCAGACTTGGCAGGCGTAACTGGTACAGTCGTTGTCCTTTCGCCATGTTTCTTGTCTTTTTCTTGTTCTTCTTCTCTTGGTAGCTCGTAAACTGAAAAGGCCATACAAACAGTTCACAATGGTCACAATCTGTTCCCGGGTCGCGCACCAGTTGTGGTGTTGAAATCCCACGTGAGCTCTAGCTACAGATGTAGTTAGGATGTTTCCACAACAATACGTCTACTAGGATAGTAAACGATCGTTCGGGCGGACCTGAAGACCCCAGTTCTGCCCTTGAACCGGGACAAACTGGACCTTGTAAACTACTTATATAGGCCAACCAGTAAAATAAGAACACGCTACTAGCACGAGCAAAGCTAGCAGGTGTTCTGAATCCTCGTGGTCCCAACAGCGGAAGGGTACCAGGGCACGGGGAAGCCTTTTACGAAATCACCGAGTGTTCAACACTCGGCTGGAAGAAATAAAAGGGAGGCAATTCAAGCACTCCCAGTCGTGCAAATAGGCAACAACAAGCCGTCACGTAAAACCTCCCGATAATAATCGGCCAATACACAAAGTCTCTTGGCCTTGCCGAGATGAACCCTCGCTACAGAGCTTCGAGTTCACCGACAGGCATAACACACTCAAACAAGCTTGACCTGACGCTTACCTTGAAGCCGGACGTCGCTCTGTGTGCTTGAGTGGAAATTCTGTTCTGTATTTAAGCTTACCCTTTCGGGTCTATTCCTAATAAGAAGTCCTAATCAAGTATACAAATATCAAGTGAACAATGATCCGTTATGGATCTTCTTGCATGCCAAGCGTCGTCTGCACTGTCGCATGAGCATCTTTAACGGTCCGCGCCCTGTCCCAGACGGTGAACGTGTCTTCCAAAGGTCGCTGAGTATTTTGCGAACTCATCCCAACCGCCACTGAGGGTTCGTACCGTAGATGGTCCGCTGAATCCAGTCCATTATTAATAATAAGAGACAGCCTGGATTCAGTGACATAGGGCCGTATCCAATGCTCGTTGAAAGTTCGGAAGTGACGTCGTCGAGTCCCTTGTACCTTGGCGTCTCCGTACATCACATGACCGAGGGTTCGTCGCTTGAACATCTTGGGCGGTGTCACGTCTTCGTCGACGGGTGATATTCCGCAACTACGGAGAAATCACTACACCACAATACGACATCTGGTGGAGAAGCAGGGTAGTCTGCTTGCTGGAGAAAGTCTTGTTCCAAGTGAAGACTCGCGGAGAGCGTCAGAAGGAAGGACAAGATGTCGGCTACTAGCAACAGAGAAGATGAGAACGCCACTATCCGACAAGAAGAAGGTCAGACGGGGAGTCTGCCTTCGAGGATGCGACCCAGTCTGTCGACTACGCAAGGCCTCCAGAACGTGCAGAATATAGTAGATCAAGCGGCCAACTGACTTGGAGGGAACAACTCTAGTACTAGTGTCGAGCCACCCGCGAACGCTTTGGGCTCCGGGGTCCCTGCGACCTTCACTACGGAAGAATGGGGCCCGATACTGACCCTGGACGGCGGCGGCGGCCGAGGTACGGTGCAAGGCTGGCTCAACTCCCTCAACTGGTTGAGATCCGTGGCTCCTCCTAAGATTGCCGCCGCTATGGAGAGAACTGGTGGGAACAGTATCGTGGGGACTCCCCCTCCTACAACTCGAGTAAGGACTGCAATCCCGTCGTACCAAGGTTTCACAATCCGAACCCCGAATACGTCATATGGGCAGGACTTCAACCCGTTCTTCTCTCTACCGACTGTCCCTGAAAACGGTGGACGTGCTCCCCCGGCAAGTATTCCTCCGAGGACCTCTAAGGCTCCTCCTTGGGGTCTCCAACCCTCTGGTAACTTGCGAGGTGGCGGGGGGAACGCTCCAGCAGTAACCGTTCCCGTTCCTCAGAGTGTTCCCTTCCAGGCCTCATCGCCTACCGTTCGAATTCCTACACAAAGCCCCGGGTCTCGAACTTCGACTACCAGTGGAATCGCGTACGGAGTCGACCCTACGGGAACTGCCCGAGCTTTACGAGGAAACGGAGGAACTACGGCTTCTGCCGGAACCCATCAAGGTCTTGCGTATGGGGAATATGGAGGTAACTCCTACTACTCATCGCCTACGTATGGTAATACGCCTTTGGCGACTAGTGGCCAGTATGGTATGCCCACTAACATCCGGAACGCTATCCGCATGCTCCAACCATTTTACTCGGAGGGAGCGTCGGTAGAGAAAGCTCGATCCTTCAGGGAGGCCTTTGAGAACGCCACTATCGGGCTGGACGAACCCCTGCGACTTAGCGCTTTCCGGGAGTGCTTGAAAGGCAAGGTCGGCGAAGATTGGTGGATGTACTCGCGCATCAACAGCTTTGAGGCTCTGAGACCTCAGTTCCACAACCAGTTCATCAGTCAGACCCCGTTGCAGCTGATTGAGAACCTTAAAAACTCTAAGCGACCCAGGGGAATGTCCGCCGAAGTGTGGGGCGACATGATTCCAAGCCTCTGCGATGATGCTCAGTGCTACGATCCTCAGATGCATTACCAGTACTTCTTGTCTGGACTTCGGAACCGAGATTGGAGGAGCGCTCTTACCACGACAATGATTGACTCCATCCCTGCGGCTGTGGCCATGTTGCTCCTTGATAAGATGCATCGTCCGGTTGAAGACGACGCCGAGTTCGACAATGTGCCGTCCCCTAAAGCTTCCCAAGAGAACGCTGTCCTCGAACGCATGATGAACATGATGCAGCAGACGCAGAATCTACTCACTCAGCAGCAACAGCAACAGCTTAAACAGCAACAGCAGTTGATGGAGCGTCCCCTGACGACCGCCTATGCTCCCCCGGCGATGAATGTAGCCGCCGCCTACTCTCCTCCTGATCCGAACCTTCTCTGCACTATCAGCCTACCGGAACGCTTCCTATTACGCCTATCAGGGGTGTTCGTGTGGGTGCAGGATTGCGCACTCAAGATGGTCTTCTCGTGTGCGGTCGGTGTCACACTCTGGGGTGTAGTCGAATGATCTGCAAAGTCGGTAAAGAGATATGGCTCACCTAAGGAAATGGATCACATCGGTCCTGAATCTGAGCGTCAGCTCCTAGCGGATT